TAATGAATATGCATCACTTGTGGATCATTTGTATTATATGTAGCGATATAGGACGGTGACATATCAGGGATGGATTAAATCAAAAAGCTAAGTCCCACCCCTTCATACATACGGAATGGATTAATTAAAACAGTTAAATCCTACATGGATGCATGTCTTGTCAACTAAAACAATTGAACGACATAACGGATGTTTGTTTTATCTTTCTGCATTAAGAAGAAATTTATATATATACCTATGGTACCATGATACGAGTTTGAGTCTCCTGATCACGGTTAGGGTGCGTATATCGTGTGGATGGATAACTGGACCTAATGACGTTCCCTGGTAGGTCTAGGTGTGCATGACTACGCTGCGGCATTTTGCGTATTACGTTTTACTCAGGTATGATGACTATAGGTTAGTAAATATCCTATAGTGTATATCTATATCTATATGGACTATTTTAGATATTGCCGAGTTATCTAGTATGTATCCGCGTATCGGGTTTATGTACGGATTGTAGTAGAATGAAACTTGCATGTGGGCCTGACCCACTCTTATTTTTCAGGTGTTTGACAATACCAGGCTTAGAGCTTGATCGTGTTGATGCAAATATAGACACTCACTCTTCCGACTATTTAGGATTTTCTTTCTTATTTTAGTTTTGGATTTTTATTCTGTAAATTTATTTATCAGTTGGAATTACTAGGGGTCCACTAGATGGATTCTCGAATTGTACGGATTTGAAGGATTTAAATAATATTAATTTATTATTTAAAGTTTGAGAATTTTTATTTTAGATTTCTTTCAGCGCATTATTATTTTATTCTTAATTCAGTTTTTATTCCTGCTTGTTTACATATTGATTGTTTGGTATCCCTCGGATTTGTGCTCGGACTTGATCACCCGTGGCTCTAGAATCGAGGGGTATCACACCTTGCAATAATGGTCTCAAATAAAAGCCCTCTTCAAGCTCATTGATGAGCACCGAAAAATGCGCATTTAAACCCGTTAAGCTTAAACATTCTAGTACCTTTATCTATCTTACTTTGCCGCTTTAGACTTATTACGTGTTATTTATATTTTCAGGCACTAATCCCAAAATTGAGCTAACTCAGCCAAATAAGAGCTTAATTGAAGCAATCCTGAGATAAACTAAATGAGGGAGCAAAGTGGAGAAAGAAAGGAGCAAAAAGGAATTAAGTTGTGCAGCTGAAAAGTTCGATCGATCCAACTTAGAGTTCGATCGATCGAACATCTATGATCGATCACAGTACTTCTCGATAGATCCAACCTTGGCCTTTGCTGAAATTCGAAGTTCGATCGATCCAACATCACCTTCGATCGATTGAACCCTATTTTGTCCTATTCAAATGATTGATCTTATCCACAGCTGTACGCCTACCAACCACTTTTGTCCTTTTTCCCACAAATATCTTCGAAATATCTCAGCCTTGTCCTTCTCTGGAGGAGTCAGACCACTTCGATCGATCCAGGATGCAGTTCGATCGATCGAACCCATCTTCGATCGATCCAAGTTAAGGTTCGATCGATCGAACTTCCTCCAGCGAGAAAAAGTTAAAGTCCAGCTCATTTATTCCGTCCTTCACCCAATCATTGGAGAATATGCCTTGCATGACCACAGCTCATCATAGGGTGTATTTGACCTACCTATATAAGGAATATGATACACTTTTTTGAGGGGGGTCTAGAGTCTCTTGTCACACATTGAAAATCATCTTGGAGGCTATTCTTGGAGAGGAAGAAGGGAGGAAGCTAGAGCAACCATTGGAGGAGATCTTCATCTACAAGGAGCAGCCATGGAGTTAGCCTTTGAGGGTTGGATCATCACTACCATGAGTGTCTAGACATCATCTTGGGGCTAGAGTTAGCCCCAAGCATGCTTTCTATACTCTAATCTTGTGTATTATTGAGGGATTAGTGTTGTATGATACATCTTGATATTCATGTATATATAAATCTTGATTATTTCATGGTTTGTATGGTTTAATGCTTCCAATTGACTATTCTATTCTACCCATATGTCTATGTATGCTAGAGTAGGATATTCATGTGCTTATCTCTAGATTTAGTGTTTTTGATGCATGTCTATGTGTATTGATGTTATAGATCTAGAGATTATCAAGATGATATGCTTAATGAATGATATTTTGGTTCATTTGATGGTTTATGCCTATTCTTGATAGCTTGTGCCTCTCTCCTAGTCTAGATAGCTTTATTTTCATGCTAGTAGTGTAGATTTAGTGTAGTGGTAGTATAATGTTAAATGGGAGGACAATCTACTCTTGATGTTTGATGTTCCATGCTTGTGAGTCCAAATGGCATATTCCTCTAATATTGTGTTGTATGTGGATTGTGAGCTTAATGAAGGATTAATGACTAGTTATGATATGTTGTATCTTTCACATGTGTTTAGACAATTTATTCCTCTCCCAATAGATAAATTGTGGCCTCTCACATGATGTTTAGATAATGCATGTTTAACTAAGTCATCCTTATGGATTGCTTGGACTATGAGCTTAATGAAAGGTTCAATGACTTGATTTGATATTTTGTTCTCTTCACATGATGTCTAGACAATATATTCCTCTACCAATAGATGTATTGTGGCCTCACACATGTTGATTGAGACAATTTGCACTTGTTGAGTCACCCTTACCAATTGAATGTCTTTTACACACACAACATTGTTACAACACATTCATTTCCCTCATTAGTCACTTGATTATGGTTTGGAATAGTATTGTTTGGTGGTGATCTCTACACCCCAAGACCTTTCCTTCTTACTTACTCTTTATCTTATTGCATTTTAATTAACTATTTTCTAGAAGTAATCAACCAACCCAATTCTCTTTTGCAATCATTTGGTACGCTAGAGTCGAAGTTGAAATTCCAACACGTATAATCCCTTGGGACGATCCCTACTCACTCTTGCTACGTTAGTAGTAGTGTTGGTAGTGGTTTTTATAAATTTAAATTTGACATAAAAGGCTTTTCTTGAACCACACATTCACTACATTCAGTTTGGCGTATTGGAACGGCCGTCGTCAGTCATCACTTCTTCTTCTATGGCTTTATCAAAATCTTTCCTTAATCTCTCCAAAAACAAGCTTGAAGTGTGGAAGATATTTAGTGCAAATAGATAAATATAGAGTGAGAAAGTGAAATGCTAGAGAGGGGAAGCATTCTGCCGAAAATGAAGGGGAAAGGAAAGAAAATGGGTTGGTCAATAATTTGCCTTCTGGTCAATAACATGCCACTTGTAAAAATGTGTGTATTTGTCACTTTTTGGTTAGTTACTCTTTTGCCCTTCTACATCCATTTCAATACCAACAAAGTTCCCAAAATATCTCCCACCAAAAATAAATACACCTATATATATATATATGTGAAATGACTACAATACCCTCACTTAAAATGAGAAAACCGAGAGAAGTTCCCGAGTCTGGAAATCGTCCCGACTTCCGAAAAACTCTAAAAAAGTGATATCGTCATTCTAACTGACTTAAAATGATTAAAAATACACTTCTAAAACCCTCGGTTCAAGAAATTGACCAAAACGCCTTTCGGGGCCCGCGTGGCACGTAAAACGAGAAAATGATTACAATAATCCAGAAAATCAATTAATTTCCTGAAATTAGAAAATAGAGAAAATCGGTAACATTACATGTAATTTTTTTCATCTTTATCTTAGGGGTTTCTTTCGATTTTAGGGTTTATTTTAGGGTTACCTTTATTTCAAAATTTCTTTCTGATTTGATGCAATTAAGGTTCTCTAGGTTAATAAACTTATTTTTTATGATATTAATTATGATTATTTTTATATTTTTCTTTTATCTTCATCTTCATTTTGGGAGTTTATTTTTGATAATGTGATATTATGGTTCTGTTAATTTAAAATTACGGTTTTCTTAGTTGTTTTTTTTTTTCCTCTTTCCTTGGTTGATAACATTTCTGTGAATTCTTTAGTGTTAATTAACTTTCTAGATTACTGGATTTTTGTTTCTGTTTTTTTAATCTTTTAGGTTCTGCAATGGACTTTCTATATACTTTGTTGGTTGACTATCATGGTCACATTCACCCATTGAGTAATACAGACCCTGGCAGGTATAATTTCCTAGAGCTTTTTCCTAATGCATGTGAGGCTGCACTAAGTAATGTTCCTACAGAGTCTGGGTTATCAATGAAGTTGTACTACCTTGATAGAGGTTCCCCAACTGAACAAAAAAAATAATAGAAGGAGATTTAGACATATTTGAGATGTTTCAAATGTATGCGGGTTCTATAAACATAGATATATTTCTAGAGGTTCATGAAATTAATGAACGTTTGACTGTAATTAGAGATGATAATGTAGATGAGAATGAGGCTATTCACAATGCGAGCCCACAAAATGGAGGTGGACAAGAAGAGGGTGTAGAGAATGCAACTACAGAGGATATGAATTCTGATGAGAGTGATGAAGACTATGTTTTCAGTGGGGATGATGAGGATGAAATTTATATTATGGTTGATCCAGTTCACCTAGACGTTGAGAGCCTTGATGATGACGATGATGCTAGGCTTTCAGATTACAATTCCAATGATAGTGAGGGGGATTTTTCTGATAGTAGTCTTGAAATAGAAGGGAAAATGGTTAATATCCAGAAGTATATAAAGGGTAAAAGGTTTAGGCATGGTGATAATGGTAAAATAAAGTTGGAAAAAGCTCTTTTGTTTGACGATGTCAACCATTTTAGGAAGGTGTTAAGGGAATATGTTGTCCAAAAGGGTTTTAGGCTTGTTAGAAATAAGAATAAGAAGGCTAGGGTCACTGCCCATTATGGCAATGAAGGCTGTAATTGGCGAATTTGTGGCACCCCTTTAGTTGACAAGGTAACATATAAAATAAAAATACTTGGCCCTGACCATACTTGTGTGAGGGTGAACAAACTGAAAGATGTTACTATAACTTGGATAGCCCAAAAGTGTGCAAAGAAGTTAGAAACCAATCTGAAATGAATGTGAAAGCTTTATTAGAAGAAATAAAGGAAAAATTTGGGGGTGTTAAGGTTCTTGAATACACATTGTACAAGGCAAGGAATAGAGCCCAACTTGAAAATGAGGGCTATCATTTAGAGGCATTCCAAAAATTACCTCTATATGCAGCTAAGGTAGAGAGAACTAATCCAGGTTGTATGGTTAAGATTAAGAGGAATCCAGACAACAGTGAGATGTTTAAGAGTATGTTTATGTCATTTTCAGCACTACGAAGAGGGTTTATTGATGGTTGCAGGCCATACATTGGTTTAGATGGGCGTCATTTGAAAGGTCCATATGGGGGTGTTTTGTTAAGTGCAATTGCTTTGGATGGGAACAATGGTCTGTTTCCCATAGCAGTTGCAATTGCTGATGGTGAGACAAAGAAATCATGGACTAATTTTGGGGATAGTGTTGAGATAACACCATGGACTTTCATGAATGATGGGCAGAAGGGAATATTTCAAGCTTTAGAAGTTGTTTTTCCTGATGCATATAAAAGGAAATGTTGTAGGCACATCTACAACAACTTCAAAGTGTTGTTTCCTGGGCTTAGAATGAGAAGGTTGTTTTGGAATACAGCAAAGGCATGCACTGCCCATAATTTTCAGAGAGAACTTACAAAAATCAGAAACCATTCAGAGGGGGCATATAACTGGCTTGTAAATCACTCGTTGGAGACATGGTATAGGCATAGGTTTGATCTAAGAGTTAAATGCGATAATGTTTCAAACAATCATGTAAAGTCTTTTAATTCTTGGTTGGGAGACATCAGGATGAGATCTGTTTTGGGTATCATGGACACAATAAGAAGCAAACTGATGTGCAGGCTACAAAAGAGGTATCAGAGAGGGTTAGGTTTGGAGAACTTGACTGCAGCACCCAAGTTGAAGAAAAAATTGAACAAGGCAGTAAAGGATAGTAGGAATATAGAAACACTCTTTTGGGCAGGGGGTACTGAATATGAGGTGACACAAGATGGATTTATATTTGTTGTGGATTTGGGCCCAAAAACTTGTTATTGTAGGGCTTGGGAAATTTCTGGAATTCCTTGCTACCATGTCGTGGCATGCATCAATTATAGTAGGTTAAAGATTGAGGATTACTTCCATAGTTACTACAGTAAAGAGAAGTACATGAAAACCTATGACAATATGATACACCCTCTGCACCATGAAACCTTGTGGCTTGAAGTACCACATGCCCCTCTTAAGCCACCTATACTGAAAAGAAATCCTGACAGACCTAAGAGGGCTAGAAGAAGTGATAGTGATGAACCTTTGGCTATGAAGAGGTCATCTATAGTAACTTGTAGCATTTGTAATATTGTGGGGCACAACAAAAAAGGATGCCAAAGGGTACCAACAACTAGAGCAGTAAGAGAAGCAACTGCAAGTCCTTCAAGAGCTGCATATCCATCAAAAGCTATAACAAGCAGAGGGAGAGTTGGCAAGTTCAGTATATGTCATTTCAGTATATGATTAGTTAAATAATTTTGTTTTTGGTTTTTGTTATTTTAATGCTTAAGTTCACTTTGAAAAATATGCAGGTGTCAAATGTAGGTGGTCATGGTGGCAACAGTGGCAAAGGACCAAGAGTTGGGAGAGGTGGCAACAATACTCAGTCCAGTGTATGTCATTTTAGTATACAATTAGTTTTTTTATTTTATTTTATTTTAAATGGTGGCTTAAGTACATTGAAAAGCATGCAGGTACCAAATGATGTGGTGATTCCTACTGCTGAGAGTAGGAATTAAATTTCTTATTTAAACAGGTGATTGAACTATATGTTTCACCTACTTTCTTTGTTTCGATGCTTGCTTGAATGAATTAAACTACTTACTTAAACTACTCTCTTTGACACATTGCAGGCCATTATTTTTGTTTTTTGGGACATTGACATAACCAAATTTGACTTACCAAAGTATATAGTAGCTGCTGAAGAATTGTTTAGCCCCATTGTAAGTTTTTGTTGACATGGGCAATATTGGTGAACTAATTAGGGCTAATGGTGATATGTTCAGCCCATTGTCTATTTTTGTTACTGTAGGTTATATTGAAAATGTAGTTTGGTCTAATTATGATATGTTCAGCCGATTATATATTTTTGTTAATGTGGGCTAAGGTTATGTAATTGAAAGTTTCAAACTATTTTAGGGCTAATGTTATGTAATCAATGTAGGTTCTGGAATTATGACAGTTTCAAGCTCAGTTTATGGTTATGTATTTAAGACAGATTCAGCAATTAACAATGTGACTGTTATATTTGGGTTATGCAATGACAATGTTATGGTTATTTTTCATGACAAAGTAATGATTATGTCCAAGTTATTTGCAAGTGCTTTTTTTAATTGCAATTTCTGAAAGATTTTGTGTAACTGTTATCTTTGTGCAATTAAATTTGTGCCCATTATGTGTTTTGCAGCTGAAAAATATAGTCACTTTGCAAAAGCTAGTCATTTTTGCCTTTAATGACAAATTAAGAAATGGTTTTAACTTTTAAGCAGCTGTTATATTACTGTTATATTACGCCAATATTATGCTTTGTAGATGATGTGAGAAATTGAACCATTAACTTTACATCCAATAGACTTGACCTGCATTAATAACAAAGTAATAAAGATTTAAATTGTATTAATAACTAAATAATTCAAGATTTTTTACCTTCCAAGGAACCTTCAATGTCATTTTTCCTCCACTGCTAGAAGAGAGATCTCTCTTTCTTTAACATATCTCTCTAACAAGCATAAACTAAAAAGCTAAAGTAATAGTTATATTTAAATATATATCAATTGCGAATTTGCATTTCATTTGTGTTTCATTTGAGTCCTATATATATATATATATATATATATATATATATATATATAAGGGCATTTTGGTCCATTATTGTATTATTTTTTATTATGTAATAACACTATGGACATTTTGGTCACTTCAAACCAAATTTATGACAAAAAGTATTACTTTTTGTATAGAGGGGAGGCCTTTGCAAAATTGGACAAATCTCGGGGGGACAAGCTGCAACAAAATGGCAAACCTCAATTTTAGTTGCTATTATGTCAAACCTCAGGTTTAGTTGCAATTATGTCAAACCTCAGGGAGGTCATTGAAGTTTGCCCTTTTTGTTTTTGTTTTTGTAGGAATGGCAACGAAGATTGTTTTATCCCTCGGGCACCCGTTCTATCTCGTTTAGTTTTAGAATTTCTTCACATTTTTTGATTTTTTTTCTTAAATACAACTATATAACTATTGAAAAAAATCAATCAATAATTTAACAGAAAATTTAAGGATATAAGCGTTTTTAGTTCGTAGGGTTTTGTCACTCACTAAAATGATTGAGAAAGTGACTGAATGTGACTTAAGGTTTTTGGAGTTGACTATATATACTAATAAAATAAGGATAATTTAGTAATTTACCTAACTAAATGGGCCGGTGGGGTTACCTCTCCGTCCTTGCCCCAAACTCGCGCGAATTTTCATTAATAAAAATCATCCCCACCCAAATAAATTAAACGGTCTCCCAAAATCACTATAAACGGGGCGGGGCGGGGCGGGGCGGGGCAGGGTGGGTACCCATCCCCGCATGGCAAATTACCATCCCTACTTGTCTGCATCCAACACAATTGCACTTAACCGAGGAGCTGACACCTAGAAATCACAGACACCTTCTAGAGAGCAACACATGTATGTTGAAAATTCATATTAAGTGGATATCGTAGATAGATATCAAATATTTCTTAAACGTATTCATAATTTTAAAAATACATTTTTAAATTTCTGACTATACTTCTTAAATATTATTTCAACTGCGTATCTAATATTTCTCAAACACTTCATAATGTATTTTTGAAAATAAAAAAAAAACTAAAATTAAAAAGGAAACGAGAAAGAACTTGTTAAATGTTAGAAGTTTGAACATTATATTGTAACTTTTTCAACAATAATTACATAATATAATTATTAAAAAATGTTCAAATTTTATTAAGTGATATGACTAGAGCTTGTTTTATGTGTTGTGAGACGAACTCCTATGTTATATTAATAATTACATTTAGATTTATAATATTTTTACAAAATTGATTTATATATGTAAAAAATAAATTTATTAATTTTTTATTATCGTAGCTTGTTGTACTCATATTCTATTCTTTTAAAATTTACCATATTACTAACCCATAGATGTATCTCATATTCATATATTCCGTATGTACTTTTTAAGTTGACAACAACACTCTCTTATTCTGTTTTCACCAACTAAGAGCATCTCCAATGCTCTTTCATTTGGGCTGCTAAATTCAAAATTTGAGAGAGGTGTAAAAAATAGGTTCTCCAATGGTCTTTCATTTGGGCTCTCAAATTTTGAGAATGTCAAATTTCCTCTCAGATATAGGAGTTGCCAATTTTTTTGGCAAGCCTTCCTCTCTTTGTATCAACACACACGCGTGCACACACACGCACACATATATAAGCTCAATCCAAAAGTTGTTCCAATAAAAAAATATAATCTCAATCCAAAAGTTGTCCCCCACGCCCCCCCACCCCCACACACACATAATTTCAACCCAAATTCGTCTATATATATATATATATATAAAAGATCATAAAAAATTTCACCAAATAGGATTTAGTTTGCAAAACAAAAATTACAGACCTTGATTAGTTGATTTAGAAAACAAATTAAAACAAAACCCATACATACAATTTAGCAATTGCAGAGAGAGAGAGAAGCCAAGCTTGAGAGTTAAGAGAACGGTTGAAGCTTGTAAATGGCGAACCTGAACTGGAACAACAGGCAATGTAAACTGAAAGATATGGATTTTTGAACAATCTGAAATGATACGCTGATATGGGTTTTGATCTTTTGATTCTTGCAGAGAGATAGATAAACTGAAATATATGGGTTTTCAACTTCTGATTCTTGTAGATTTTCTAGTTTGCAGTTGTAGAGAGAGAGAGATAGAGAGAAAAGGGGAGTTCAGAGTTGAGAACGAGAATAGAGATGGAGGCGATTGGGGAAGCTGAAATGATTTGCCCTAAAAATATATATATTTTTAATAATAATATACTCAAATATATATAATATACATAAACATATATATATATATATATATATATATATATAATATGAATATCCGAAAAAGAAAAAAAAAATATAATAATATAATCAAATATATAAATTTATACATATATATATTTTGGTCCTTTTTTTATCAGATATTTTAGATTTTTGTTTCTTTTTAATTAGGTTTAATTTTAGTTTCCTTCTAATGTTTATAACTTGACTTGGAATGTGCCTAATATTGATATTACTGATGCAAATATGAATGGTGGGAATGGTAGTTGAAAAAGAATGGTGGTTGTGTTAAAAAATAACATTTTGCATGAAATACACCATTGAAACAGAATTGCTAAAATGTAGCATTTTGTTACTGTAACACCTATCAAAATATAAATTTGGCATGCAAAAATAGCTTTTAGCATTGGAGATACTCTAAGTCACTTACTCACTGAGTACTCTCTTTTAGCTGTGGTAGTTTTTATCTATTAATAGAGCAACTTCATTTTACAAATAATAAATTAATTTTATTTTGTCCCTTTTATACCAGTAATAAAAAATTACTTTATATTTCTATTTTCACCCTTCATTTTTATTTTCCAGATAGAGTTATCATGTCTTTTTTATTTCAGATTTATTTGCATTTGGCTTAGCAGTAATAATATCATTATCGTGAATTAGTTGTATTTAATTGTTGTAATACTTATGAGAATGTCAAAAAGAAGACTTTTTTTAACCCAAATTTGGAAGTGCAGATAAATATCTTGAAGAACTAGACATTTTTTTTTTTTTTTTCAATCTCGTAAATAATTAATATTATGATTTGTTTATTTGAATGTTTTTCTATGACTCTCAACCTCAACGTAATTCTTGCTACACAGAAAATATATACTAAGCCTATATTCACTCTTGTTCTCCTTCGGTTATATTCATACAGTACTGTACTAGGGAGAGAGAGCACTTTCACTCGCATTTTGAAACAGCCCACAAACCCTAAACCCGAGTCTTGCTCTGAACCACCCCTTGAATCATGCTTCATATCTTCTCTTCTCCGAAATCCTGAATTAATATGCTTTTTTTGTTGATTCAAATTATATTTTGAAGCCCCAACAAGGAAGAAATGTCAGATTTTGTTCCCCAAGAAGTATGGATCGACATCTTCACGAGACTATCCGTCAAGACCCTCCTTCAAATAAGGTGCGTTTCTAAGCTATGGAATGCTCTCATCTCTAGTTCCTCTTGCATCACCACTCATCTAAATCGCACTAAAAACACCCACATCAAAACCCACACACTTCTCCTCAGGCATTTCACTGACAGCGAGAGGCACAAAAAAGAACACTATTTGTTACTTGACGATGATCAGACACTTGGTGAGCACACTTTGGAACTGGATTTTCCCTTGAAAACCCGATCTGATTATCCTTTCAGAATAGTGGGTTCTTGTAATGGATTGGTGTGTTTGTCCGACGATCACTCTATGCATGCCTACGATATAATCCTATGGAACCCATCGATTCGAAAATTTGTCATCCTTCCCAGACCTCGTGTTACCGAAATAACTCATGGGTCTTATATGTTTCTGCTTGGGTTTGGATTTGACCCCATGACAGATGACTATAAGGTGGTGAGGATTGCCTATATTAAAGGAAGAAATGGGCGTGATTTAATTCCACCAGAGGTTGAGGTTTATAGGCTTAGCTCAGGAGCTTGGAGAAGCTTTAGTACTGGTGCTCCTCCTTATGGTATGTTTGGGTATACATGGACACAGGCTTTTGTGAATGGGGGTATCCATTGGATTGGATATGATCCATGTGTGGCCAGTGGGAATCGCAATTTGGTTGTTTCGTTTGATGTGGGTGATGAAGTATTTGGTGAGGTGATGCTGCCAGATGGTTTAGCTGCTCAATCTGGGCAGGATTTGTCAGTATCCGTTTTTGCTAAATTACTTTCAGTGCTTCATTATGAATATCGTGCTAAAAAACAGCGTTGTTCTGTATGGGTGATGAAGGAGTATAGTGTTGTCAACTCCTGGGTGAAACTGTATACTATTGATCTGCAGGGAGGAATACAGAGGATAATAGGATTTAGAAAGAATGAAGAAGTTCTATTGACAACAGCACGTGGAAAGCTAGTCTCATATGACCCCAATACCCTACGAATGAAGAGTCTGGGAATTCGTGGTGCCATAGATTCGTTTTATGTTGACGATTACATGGAAAGCTTAGTTTTGCTAGGGGCAGGAGATGGAGACTTAAGAGGGCAGCCAAGTTCTTTTGAAGGTATTACTGATGAGGGAAGAATAGAGAATGGGGTTGAGGCCCAGCAATGGCCAGGAATGCTGAAGGAATCAAGGAAAAACAGGCAAGACAAATTATCACCCCCTAATACTTCATTGTCTTACCATTACATTCATGATTGCTATTTTTCTTCTTCTTAGATTCATGCCATTGACTTATATGTGTACATTAGCCTCAAAACTTAACATGTGTTTTATTTTTGAGGCTGATTTCTTGCAACTGACGAGTGCTAAGATCCATGTTAGTTTTCCAATTATCATGTGTACATAGCTGATTAATTTTTTGCATATAACCCGTTTCTGTACGGAGATTTCCCCAACTCCTCTTGTATTATTATATCAGGAAGATTTTTCCAGATTATTTTTTTATTTCCTTCTAAAAAAGTTGATTAACTTTGTGTACAACCTGTTCTCCGTAAAGGCATGTGTCTAACTCCTGTTATATATATTATTATTATTATTATTATTTTAGGATGATATATCTAAATTCATTATGTTTGTAGAGCTTTGAAGTATCTGTGGCTAATACTTGTTTTCCAATCATATAAATTGTTATGGAGTCCTTGTGTCTTTTTATCCTTTCTAATGTTGTTTTTGAGACTTATCATTTAACTTCTACTGCCTTTTAAGGCCTAAAATTAATTTTGGACCAATATGCTTTGAATAAAAGCAGCTTAGTCAGGCAAGGTTGGCCGGTCAAAGTCTTAAGGAATGAGAAGTGACTAATTCCATATGTGCATATATATATATTTTGAAGAAAGGTTACTAGCCTTTTGAAGATCTATTAGGCAATTTAATTTCTCAAGTTTGTATTGTATTCCATATTATGGGCCATGGGGGTATCTCATTGGAAGAATCAGAAACTATTTTAGATTTTGGAAGTTTTAGTTAGTTTTAAGCCAAATACATAAGTATACTTTGAATAAATAACTTATACCAAGAAATTTGTCTCTTGAAGTGATCTTCAAACAAAAAGCAGATGTCATGTTCTATGTGATCTTGGAAATTATCCAACAATATTCATGTCTTCGATAACGTCATAAAGGCTAAAGGCTATAGAAGTGCATCTCTAGTTTCTATACAATGAAAGAAATGAATAAGGTGAATCATATGCAAGTGACCGCCTATTCGACATCTTTTACAGGGTTTCTTCCAAAATCTCAATTACAAATAGATCTGAGACTGATTCAAGGCTTCAATAGACAGGAGAGATATTGCTTGGATTTGCCTGATTGTGCCTTTCTTATCGATACTTGTCATTCTCATTTGATTGCTTTCACTGGCCTTTTGACTAAATAGAAATGTGCATGGAGAGCAAGTCCTAAGTTGCGGAACCTTCAACCGTGAGAGGAGAGGGCCTTTTGGCTTCCTCAGGGCTGACTGTACCTATTCTGATTTTGAATTATCCATCGCTACGCTGTTCCCAAGGATTAATACAATCGAAATAGCGAAATTTTTGGGTCATCTCAATGTTTCATAAACCACTTTAGAGGGAATAGGGGGAGCATTTATTTCAACGTCTTACAGGAAGCACTCGTGAATGCTGCTGGGTTGGACCAGCCAATAACTCGAACACGTTCGGTCTTTTTTTTTTTTTTTTTTTTGTTTTACCCACAGCGGTTCCTTACCTTCACCATGATATGGACTCCAAGTCTTCTGCTTGCAATGCTTCAATGGTCTCCTTCGTGTCTTAATCAAGACCATCCACCGACTTTATGTATGGTTCGGCACTTGTGGATTAGGGTCTTGCTCTAAAAATTCAGAAATACTTGTTTCCCATTCAATGAAAACTTAAATCTTGTAATATGATCACATTATCCTGACTGCTGTAAGATTTCTTTGGGCTGTCTCTGGAAATTTTATTCATTTCCACTTAGCAAAGCCTTTTCCCAACTATTCTATGGAAATTTTATTGGTCTATATTTTTTAATTTAGCCTGGAACACAAAGGTTAGTTAAAATTAGGAACCATCACCGGATCACTGAAATGAAAAGAAATGGGTATGAGACAGCGTTGTGGTAAAAGAGGGACTTATTTCTCTTTGTAAATGAAATAGAAAATCTGGTATAGGTGCTAGGGCAAGTCAGGGTTCAATGTTACAACATATCTGTTAAGATTAAGGATATCTCTGTCCTGCTTTGCTACTTAACAAGTGTATGAATGATGTAGGAGATTCGTTGAGAGTATTATGGTAGTTGAACAAGAACTGGAATATGGATATGTTGTAATGATAAAACAAAGAGGAGGTAGAGATGATTGAGGCATTGCACCTCAAATTCGGTGAATGGCCCTCCATTCTGATGACCAACCAGCACATATCACACTGTTTAATATGATATTCTCCTTTAGGTGGAACTATCCACTGATGGACCTATTTGATAATTGGGACCTTCCTGAGCAAAAGATCCCCACTATTTGATGATATTGGAACATCTTCCCTCTGTTTTATCATGTACTTGATGTAAAAATGTCTTGATGTTGTTACCTTACCATGTTATGATTCAATTTTTTTCCCCCTTTCGAGGCAAGTGTAATGGTTAAGATTCTTGAAAAGACCAATATAAGATGTCTTGGTCTTTCCTCAGTAGGTGTGAAGAGAATACCCCTGACGGCTACACAAAGTTGAAGAAACTGTGAGATTTAGGGTCATCTTGCATCAGAGATGTTCTCCACATCATGTATTAAGTGATCTGTTTATTGAACCCCCAATGTCAATAAAATTTAAGGTGTTTAAATGATATGGAGGTGGCTCTATTCCCATAATTTATAAACCATTTGAATTTGAAAGATAAAATTAGAGAATACAAGCCTTTGTTTTACTTGTAGTATAGCTGTTGGGGAAATAGAAATTCTGCCCTTTTTCACGCAAACCTTTTTTATTACATAAATTTTGTATATCTCAGTTGCTATATGTTTTTTTGAGTTTTGAGACTCGTAACATTACAATTATTGATACAGGTGTGTTGAGTTTGGACATGAGGAAGAAACTGAAGATCTTTATTTCGGTGGAAGATCTGGATGTGGCAGATTCGCTGATTCCTCAACTGATAACTGTGAAGAATGGGACAATGCAGTGGTTGCTAAGGTTGAAGAGTTGAGAAAATTTCATTCTCACAAAAAGTTTTAGGCTTATGAACATGTTTGATATTACTCAGAAATATTGATCAGCTAGCCACTTTTTGGAGTTGATACATTGGATGCAAGTAATTACTTTTGGATCTGGTTCTGAATTTGATCTGCCCGACTTGACAATTAGTGTGTAATTAAGAAGTAAAAGCCTATTATTATTATGTCAGTTTGTTTTCCCCTTATCGATTACAGTAATATTTGTCTGGTGGATTATCTCTTTATATATATATATTTATTTAGAGAAGTAATTAAGAATTGATTTATAAGCTGGGACATATAAATTTATTCTTAATCAGTGGTTGTGGGACCTAGATCCTTTCTGGTCTCCGAGAGTATTTTAAACCAGCAATGCAACACGGTACAGATTAAATCCAAAATGCAATATATTTATATCCTCATTACATTTTTGATTTAGTAGTGTTGTATTGTTGACTTCGTGTTATTGCAGTATTTATTGTCAATTTAAATGTTCTATATTTACGTTTAGTGACAAAACTACTAAATCGATCGAAGATGTAATACTGCGTAAGTATTTATTGTCAATTTAAATGTACTATATTTACGTTTAGTGACAACATTATTAAATCGATCGAAAATGTAATAGTAGTACTACATAGTTGTTGCAATTTTGATTTAGTATTAATTTTGTGTTATTGCATAAGTATTTTATTGTCGCTTTAAATGTGGGAGAGAGTTGCTTTTTTGATTCAGCTTTGTTATATTGTTAGATTTTATTCTATTGTCCATTTAAATGTACTAGAGAGTAATGGATATTAAAGTGTACTGATGACCTTTAGGCTGCTTAAAAGATGAGTTTCACGAACAAGTTTGAATTTTTTGTTTCTATTTATTATTATTATTTTTTTTATGAGACTTGAGTTCTCTCTCTTTTCTTTTCACCCATCCTCAAACTCTATGACATAGGGGCCAATTTGCCCGTTTTCAACGCTTTTTTTTTTTTCTAATTTTCCTTTTTCCATTTTCTTTCTTTTCTTAGTTTTTTCTTTTTTGTTTTCAGTTGCCAAGCGTTAAGTTCACTATTAGGTTTGTTGCCCTTTGTTTTTTGCGCCAAGCAAAACGAGGCCTTAAATCGCACACCACAGATTTAATAACATAAGAGGATTCGCGTCCAGCCAAAGAGGGCTAGTAGACTTCTGTTATAAGGGAAAACTTGTCCTACATTGGATCCGGATGGAAAGTGACATGGGTATAAATGGGTGGGTATGTAGCACTACTCAACAGTTCGAGTTTTTGGGTAAATGGGCAAGCGCCCACCCGTTACAGTTGGTATCAGAGCCAGACCCAGTTCTTGATCCGGTGTCACGCCAAGCGCCCGGCCCGGAAGGCGTCCGGGTGTGCCACCCCGAGTAGGCAGGGTGGCCCGACTGCAACGAGGGCGTTGCGAGTTCGGGTAGGGGAGAATGTTACAAGGGGAAACTTGTCCCACATCGGATCCGGATGGGAAGTGTCATGGGTATAAATGGGTGGGTATGCAGTACTACTCAACAGTTCGAGTTTTTGGGTAAATGGGCAAGCGCCCACCCGTTACTGTTGGTATCAGAGCCAGACCCAGTTCTTGATCCGGTGCCACGCCAAGCGCCCCGCCCGGAAGTCGTCCAGGTGTGCCACCCCGGGTAGGCACGGTGGCCCGACCGCAACGATGGCGTTGCGAGTTCGGGTAAGGGAGAATGTTACAAGGGGAAACTTGTCCCACATCGGATCCAGATGGGAAGTGACATGGGTATAAATGGATGGGTATGTAGCACTACTCAACAGTTCGAGTTTTTGAGTAAATGGGCAAACACCCACCCATTACAACTTCCCACAACTCACTTTCAAGTTCTCTTCTTATGTTGATGCAATACAGAATCAGATCATAAAAATAACAATATATCCAATAGTAAGAAGAGATAATCAACTAAATATAAATATGTAATAAATAATAATATTTTGAAAATACAAAAAAAATTAAATAAATACAAAAAAGAGATTACGTATTTTTTCAAATTTAGGATTAGACACCCGAAATAACTTGTTGAAAATAGAGCAGCACTATAATTATATTCTAAACAAGTATATTGGAGCCTTCTCATTGTAGTTGAAGATGTCAAGCTCTTGATACTGCTCATGCAAATTTCTCTTTGTTTTGGTTGAAGTTGAACCGGCCCTATAAGTATTGGGTGCGTGTAGCCTTTGAGATAGATCTCCCAGTTATTGTGTAGTTCAGTTTTCTGTATCAATGATGGAAAAGAAAAAAACGAATTTTTTTAAATGAATGGATACATTTGCTTTCTTTGCAACTCCACTTGCGGATAAAGGAATGCTAGAAAAAGCAAAAAACGGAGGTAAAAGAAAGAAGGAAAATAAGAAAAGAAATGAAATAAAATAAAGGGTTCGTTTGTTTCAACGTAAAATATTTTTTTATTTTTATTTTTTCGGTGTTGGTAAATGTCTATATCGAGATTGAGGATATGTAAAATAACTTGTCCAAAATTTATGGATAAATTATTTTTGTTAAATTTTAATATTTTTTTTCTTTGTAAATATATTACGACAACCAAACACCAAAAAATAAAAAATATTTTCTGAAATATATTTTACGTCTAAATAAACGGAGCTAAAAAGTCAGAGAAAAGTAAAGTCAACGAAAAGGAAGAGATTTTCTAGCATGAATTTGGTTAGTATGAAAATTTAACCCAAAAAAATTATAAAAAAATATTAATTTTTTAGTTTGGATAACATGAAAGTGAAAAGAAAGTGATTATGCATACCAAAACTACCCTTATGAAGTAAAATGATGAATTATTATACTCAAATATATAATTGTTTATATTCATTTCTATTACGGAGCATTTATATTTAGAATAAGGCTTCATAATATTTTGTTAGATAAAATTAATTATTAGTTTAAGATAAACAAATTAAAAAAATAAAAAATTAGAAATGAAGAGGCAAGACTAATGTTTGGGAAAAAAATAAAATATTTCATTATTTTTTTTTAATATATATATATATATATATATATATATATATGTTCAAACGGGATTATGAGTGGCTAAAATTGCAACATAGAACAGACGATTAAAAATAAATAAAAAAAATTCTATTTAGAAGCAGATTTATTCTGACCAATTTTATCCAAATTATTATTGATATTCGGTATAGTTTGAGTTATAACGGTACAGTTCGAGTTGCTAACTTATCTTAAAATAGAAGTTGTTTCGAAGAGAACTTACCTCATAATAATCCACTTCGGATATGGTCCAGCGGTTTACTCAATAGGCTTTGAAGCTTAGCAAGCCCAAGGTTTGGGATTCGAGTCTCGCTAGGTGTTCTTTGTAGCTAGCCTTCGTTACCCCTGTAATGACTTACACGGCCCGGGTGGGGAGGCGCCCTTCTGGGTCTTCGGAGATTAGTGAGGTTGTTGAGAAGCTCTAAGGGTTCATACCATCCCGGACACCCCAGGTTAAGAAGAAAAAAAAAAAAAACTTACCTCATAATAAAAGTTGTTTTAGAGAAAACTTTGCACCGAGTAGAGTAGGAACTATAAATAAATAGACTTGTCTTTCACATTTTCGCATGTTTTTTGCGGTTAAATTTGCATGGAAAATACTCAATGCGGAAAACTAAATTTTTCATTAATTTTCTCTTTCTATCTATCCAAACTATAAAAAAATTTAAAAATATTACTAGGTAATTACTGTTTTATCTCACTATACTTTCAATAGTTGTAACGTCTACATATTTAAAATACATATGAATTGTTACCAAAATTAATAATCTTAAAAGGTTTGCATAAAAAGGTTCTCTTATGTATAAACTTTCGATGTAATTTTTGGAGGAGTTTTCTTATATTTACATAGGAGGAAATTTGATAAAAATAAAAAATAAAAACGAGTTTTTGATTTATTTTAAAAAAATTTCTTTTATCAATAGGTTAGAAGAAGAATTGGAAGGCATCACCAAGTCACAAGCGCGAGAACTGAGGACACTCACCACTTTCGCATTAGGGCGTGAAATGTAAATCAAAATTACCTGAAAATTCAAACAGATTAAAATTGAATGGGGATATTTTTTAAAATGATGAAGCATAAGTTGTACTACCTACAACAGATACGACGTCGTTGAAGGAACCATGAGAAACAGTAAAAATGTGCTCTCTGGTCGTTCAGGGCAAAGCTGGGGTTCATATGATAAAGAATCAACTTCTTAGATACCGTTTTGTTTCTCAAAATCTCAGGGCTTAAGAGTCTCCGTCCATCGGAATCCCTAAAATGTCGGATTATTTGCCCACAGAAGTGATGAGTGACATCCTTGCAAGACTACCTGTGAAGACTGTTGCACAGATCAGGTGCGTTTGCAAATGATGGAATTCTCTAATCACCAGTGATAATTTCATCTCCATATATCTCAATCGAACTATCCATTTGAACAACACCAACAACACTCACCTACTTCTCGTTAGGCACTGCACTTTAAATAAAAATGAAAAGGCAGAGGAAGAGGAAGAGGAAGAGGTAGAGCATTACTCATTACATTTTGATAACCAGTCATTTGATACATATCGTATGAATCTCGAAAGCCCAACCCCATTTTTTGGATCTTATTTCCGAATACTTGGTTCTTGTAATGGTTTGGTATGCCTCAGTGATGATTTGTGGAGTTATGCGAATCTTAACTTCCACTATTAGAAAATGGTTGGAGCTTCCAGAGCCCCGTGTTACCTTTCAATCGTATGGCCCGCATTGGCTTGCTCTTGGTTTTGGCTTCGATTGCCGGACTAATGATTATAAGGTGGTTAGAGTTGTCTTCCCTGAATTCGGAGAAGTCAGCTCTCATTGTGAGGTTGAGCTGTACTCGCTTAAACAAGGTTCTTGGAGAAGCATTAGTAGCACTAGTCGCCCCCGATTTCGTATCTGTTATACTTCGACTGACACACAGGCTTTTCTCAATGGGGCTGTCCATTGGATTGCAGGCGGTGTTCATGCTTCTCCTCATTTGATCTTATTGTTCAATATGAGTACTGAGGAATTCCAAGAGATGAAAGTTGCCAACTAGTCTAGTGTGCGCACCGGTGCTAAATTTGTCTATTGCAGTGATTAGGGATTCACTCTCTGTTTTGCAGTATCGTACAACAAGAAGTAGACAAGTGTCAATATGGGTGATGAAAGAATACGGCATGGTAGAGT